GTGAAATGCTCTAAGAACATTCAATGTTGTTCTCCTTTCTCACATCAGCTGGTCACTTCACACAGAGCAAATGTTCAGGCGGTTTGTTGGATGGCTAGCTTTGCATTTATATATATATATATGCACTCTCTCACACCCAAAGTGTTGGACATGACCTTAGTTTGTCTGTGTGTAGTTCGTTGGGAAGCATACTAATTATCAAACCTGATAGATGTGGCATCGCAACATGACAAAGACAAGGTTTAGTGATTAGACTAGGTACACACAAGCTGGAAGCACAATAAATTAAAATCATAGTCCTAGTAACAAATTAACCAAGTTATTTATCCTCTTTGTGCATGTGTAATAGATCACTTACAGCTTTAGAAATTGAAGTATCAATTTATTGAGGGACATAGTAATTCAGGAATTCTGAGACAGTCAGTTTATACTGCCACCTACAGAAGGTTGCAGCACTTGCAAACAGAAAAAAAGATTGTACGCCTATCCCCACATAACCCTCTTCTCTACCCAGCATGCCTCGTTTTTTGCTAGTGTCCTAGGAGGTTGGACACCATTTCTTTAGCTCTGCTAAACAACATTTAACAATTTTGCTAACTCGTGAATTTTAATAAAGTTTTATTTTTAGTTGCTTTAGCTGGTCTCTGCGTAGCAGCCATGTGGATCAGTGTACCATCAGCAACCGCTTTGGAGGCTCTACCCAGATCCCTACTGGACTGGACAATTGTAAAGTTAGCCTAGAAAGACCTTGACCTTCAGGCACAGGGCTTTACATTTTGTTGCGTTCCAGAACTTTGTGTTCTTAGCTGTAGAGCGCTTTCTGGGTCCACAGCCATGGCACAACGTCTGACCTTGTTTTTACAAATTTTCTTAGTAAGACCAGTAAGGCTGAAGCACCAAGAGCTACCTCAGCTATACTGCCAGGCGCTTTTTCAGATTTCCTGCCACCCATCAAGGTTGAGGAAACTGAGCACGGACATTATCTGCTGCTTGGAGTGTTTGCAAGTGTGCTCTTTTTCTTTCCATTCACCCTAGAAGAAGCACCTTCTTGCTCCTGCTCCAATTTGTTCCACTGCTTGTTTAAAGTGACCGGGCTACCTCCATCCACCTGCAACCATAATCTGCATCAGCTTATGTTTCTGAGTATGCTGGGCCTTGTTGTTTTCTGCTTTACAATACAACATTTCTTCTCAAAGATGCATAGAGGACACTCTTGCTGTAATGAGTGACCTCAGCCCATCCATTCTCCCCTAGTGGTACTGGGGGCCTGGTGCCCCACTTGGAATCCTGATTATTAATGGGGAGGTTCTCATTGGAAGCTTCAATTTCCTCATGCAAGGCAGAGGCCTACTAGGATTTCTGTGTCCACGTTAGATTTTTTTTATTTTTTTTGTCTGTGGCCATTAACAATGTGTGTGCAGAGGCTGTAAGCAAACTCCAGTACCTTCCATGGAATCTAGCTTTGACCCTTCTGGGACTCCAGTTCAGACCATGCTGAGTCTGTTACCATCCCTGAATCAGAGTTAGAGCTCCCACAGCTGCAAAGACCTTTCTGTTTAATGCACTTTGAAAGTAATTTCTCTGTGAGGACTAGGAACCCCCTGCAGGCTCCTGGGCCCCTCAGGAGAATGTAGCAGAGCTTTTCCCCTTCGACAGGGAATTTTTATTGCTTAGTGGTCTCTTCCCACTTTAAATGTTCTAATGATCCACCTTAACAAGTGTACTACCAAAAGGGTTAACAGGCATTTAACTGACAGATTCCTTTACAGATCCCATGAATGAACTGGATTCACTTTGTTGGGTGTAAATTTGATTGCCATACTGTGTCAATATGGGTTAAATCCATTTAAGAGGACCCCTCCATTGCTAGAGTAGGTCCTCCCCATTATTTTTATTTTATTTTTTGAGAGTTCTGAGCAAAAGTCTGGAGTGTTGGCTTTGATGATCTAATATAAGCATCTAAGCTTGTTTTTCACATAGACTAATGTCCATGTGTGTAGGGCAATTTGGCTATGTGCCTGGGAGACCTAAGATGTGTCCAAGCCACATCTGACTCTGTTACCTGACTCTGTGTGAGGGAAGTTGCCTTTTTGGACCTGCTCTTGACATCATTAGTAGCAATGCCACTGGTGGTCAAAGAGACAGAACAACCCTATCTCCACCTACTAGGCAATACTGGCACATTGTGAAAGCCCTCCTCCCACTCATACCGTTGAGGGATGGGAGGGGGGATTCATTTGTTTATCTTGCCAGGTTCCTAAGTAGTTTACCTCCCTGCATTTGGGTACTCAAGTCAACCCTTGTAGCCTTCACCCCTGAACCTCAGATCTGTTATTTCCTTCAGATACCCCTGTTCACCTTTTGGTTTTCTGCACCCCATTGTGCAACTATCTAGGTCTTCCTTCCACTTATCCTGAGACATCTGATTCCTACCCTTGGAAATGGTATCTTACTCTTAACTCACATTCTTACCCACATTATGAGTCATTTTCTCAGATGTGGTTGCATCTCTTGCAGTGCTTTACGCTTCCCAGCCTTATGCCTTTCTAAAAGGACCTCTTGACCTACATGGTCAACAGGAAGCAGTTCCTTCCCTGGTAAGCACTTGCCCCTCCAGTAACTCTGGATCTTGACTTACAGCACTGGTCCTTTTTTCCTGGCATCCCCATTTTGAAACACTCAGGAGACCTTTCTCTATTCTGAAGAGGTTGCTCAAGTTCTGATTAAGGAAGTCCACGTGATGTGAACTTTGACTCCTTCTTTTTGTGTATCAAACTCCCCCTTACCCTTTCGGGTTTATGCCCTTCTAGTATGGTCTTTTCTTTCTCATGTTGTCTCCCAGTCCCCTTTTTTGTTCTCTGTTAGGGAGTCTGGAATCTGGACAAGACGCTCAGATGATCTCTTTTGGCCATGGATGCTATTTGCTGTCTCAAGCGGGGGATGGGTTGGGTTTCTTCTACCCTGGTAGAACCCCTCTTATAGGCATGTCCTCTTGACTGGTACTTACTTTAGCATGGTTCCTGAACAGGTAGTTCCCTAGTCGTCGTCGGAATCTTCTGTGGGTATTTTGACCTGACCTTCAGTGGACATCACCTGGGCATTGTAGGGCCTTCACGTTTGGAAAGGTTTAGGGACTTTCCCTGTGGCGGGTCAGGTGACCTGCTCCCTACACTGGGCACCACTGAGTGTGGTATTGTTGAACACATGGACTTAGAGTGAACATGTTTCCTTCAAGAGCCTTTTAATGCATGGAGTATTGAAGTATTTATTTTTGAAGGGTCCTCTATTCCCCTGCACAGTCAGCAGACAGGACATGCTCTGATTCTGCTGTAGCTTTCCTCTGGGAATAATGTAAGTCCAAGGGACTTCTTGGGACCTAACTACTGAGAGATAGGTTCTCCTTATGCAGCTGAGCAACAGTCTTCTATAAAAATCTCCTCCGATTCCTTCCTCTCCTACCTTCTGTCAGGTAAATGTTCTTAATAACACCGGGATTCCTAACCCTTGCTTCATCAGTGTAGGATGCTCTTTTGTTAGGTGGGATGCTTTTTAGAATTAAGTAGTTGGTAAAGGATTAGGAGTGCTTGCAGTGTGATCTGTCTTATTCAAGGAACATCTGGGTTATGGTATACTGTTTCCTTGCCTACTCATTGTGTAGGTGCATTTATCACGCTACCCTCTACCTTTAGAAAGAATCGGGGTTCGTACCCTTCAATTTCTACAGGCATTGTGATTCATTACCTTCTAACCATTGGGATGTTCGCTATGAGAGATTTCACACCCATGGCTATCGTGTTGGGAGAATAGTCTCACTTCAAGAGAGTCAGGCAAACCTTTTCTGTATCATGGACTTTTCTCTCCCTGAAGTCAAAAGATAGGAATTCTGGGATTGATGCTTGTATGGTTGCTTAAATGGCCTTCCTTTTTTTTTTTTTTTTTCTTTTTTTTTTTTTTTTTTTTTTTCCCCCACTCAATTTTTTTTTTTTTTTTACAGGTTTTCATTGTTGATCTAGTTTCTTCCTGTCTGGGAAGTGCATTTTCTACCTTTTTTTTTTGGTGGATGTTTGGTTTCATACCTTTTTTTTCCCCCTTGGCTTGATTTTCTGTCCTGGTTTGGAGCATCAGATTGATTTGGGGTTACCTCCCCTTTGTTGTGGCAGTTCCTCTTTTGCATAGCCTTTTTTTTTTTTTTTCCCATGCAGCCTTGATTCTAACATTGTTTCATTCAGGCTCTGTTGTGGGGTAGTTCCCACATCAGCTGATCCCATCAGTGGCTGTTGTCCACCTCTCAGTTGGATTGTTTCTGTCCTGACTGTTAAAAGAAATTTTTGTTTTTAGTGGAAAATATTTTTCTTGCTGTCCATTGAAGGACACGGGTCCCACCCTATATACTGTTTTGCATTAAACGATAAGGCATGCTGGGTAAAGGCGTTATACAGGGGGATGTTGTACAACTTTTTTTTTTTCCAGTTTGCCAGTGTCCTAACCTCCTGTAGAAAGCGGTATAATCTGATCTTTTCAGAATTGCTGAATTTCTATGACCCTCAATAGATTTCAAGAAAAAGATTTTACAGTGTGTACAAAAAAATGTTGTTCTCTCGCGCAGGCAAGAAGCTCCAGCTCTTGTGCTTTTATCATTTGAAAAAAAAAGTGTGCTATGGATTGGGAAACACAAATCATACTCCATGAAGGAGAAAAACATATATGCTAGCTACTTTTGTAGTTCTTGTTAATTTTCCATATTTAGATGATAGAGCTTTTATTGAAAAAATATATATGTATTTGACAGTTGGTTATAAAGTTTCATATTATATTAACTAATATATAATAATATTTACTGTGTTTGCCAATTAGGTATACTTGTTTTTGTCAGTACACTATGATAAAATATTGGTTCTAATGTGAATCCCTTTAGGTTGTTCCCTTTATTTCCTCTAAAAACAAATTCCATTCTGTTTCAATTCCATTACTATTTATTGCTCTTATTTCACCCCATCCAGCCCTCCAGTGAGGCGTCAGTGGGGAAGGAGGGACAGACCTCAACAGAGTATCGTCAGTCAGGATGATAGTTCCTTGTGGGCTGCCTTCTTTCCTGTAGATGAACATAGAGTTTACGCCCTCACCAGCACTCCACCACGAATGCTCCACCCCACTTCACACTCCACTCAGCAAACGCCATTCATGGTTGACCTTCATGAACAGGTAACCGTTTGCAAAATTGTTTTTTATTTGACTGATGGCTTAGTAAAAGAATACTATGAGAATTCCAGAGCATGTTATAATGTATTTAAGGGGTACTACATGATTCATTCAGACTTCTGGAAGCTTTAAATGTTGGGCTTGCTAAAAGAAATGTACAGCAAGCATTTGCAGGCTTCAAGGAGCTTTGTTTCAAGCCTTCACTTCCAGTTTATAGAGGTTAAATACAGATATTTAATGAGAGTACTTTGTCACTTCAAAAAAGCTAAAGCTTGTTGAAAACCTCCTAGCTGCATGTTTAAAGTGACAGTTAGCATTCCCATTACCAGGATCTGAGTAGAGCCTTCCTGAAGTGAGGTCAAATCCTCTTAGCTGTCACTAGACCGGGTGTGACCACTGAAACTTCCCTACACCTCCCTGTTCCTGTGAAAACCTATAAAGGTTTTGATTTCACAACACTTTTTACAGAAGGACATAAAACTTCTGTCAGGTTTTATTACTAACTGTTCCATCCTCTATCCAAAAGTAGCAGTTTGACCTTGATTAAATGAGCATACTCATTTAGAGGGACAGTGATGATGATGATTTCTTTGATATAATTCCACTTGCAGAGTCACGTGTTTCAAGGTATCTCCAGACAGCTTTATCAGCCATTGAATCTGAACTGGCACAACTAGTGAGATTGTTGCAGATACAGGTCTTGTATCTGGTTCACACCTGTGCCGTTTTAAAGTCACGCTACTTCAGCACGATTTCAAAGCCACGGATCTGTGTGACTTGCCGACATCTGTGTGATTTCATTTACACAGTTGTCAATGCAGGCCGCACATTAAATTGCACAAAAATAGCACAGGAACCTCCAAAGTTTCAAAGTTGTTGCGACTAGAGTTGCACCAATTGAACGGTTCCATAGCCACAAATAGGATGCGACTTCGATCTGTCAGTCGCATGACAAGTGACACTGGTGTGAACCTGGGCCTAGGATAAGCAGGTGCATGAAAAAATGTGTTATTGTAACAACAAGATTAGTGCAGTTTTTCAGTTGCGCTTTGGCTGCTGTTGGGAACTGTATATTCATATATTATTATGGAAAATACCCTAGTAGATGCCATGTCTCTTGTTTTGTAGGACACTCTACACGAATACATTGAAAAGTCAGTTTGTAGATGAACTGGAAGCTTGGATAAATTGTTTTGGGTAGACATGAAAATTGATTGCCTTCAGAGAATAGAGCTGTACATATTGGCCCTAGTGCTATGTATGTTTTATATGTTTTACAACTTCTGTATTTTTTTCCAGGTGCACCAGGGACCTGTCCCTCTTTCATACACTGTTACAACAGTAACCCAAGGTTTCCCTTTGCACACTGGGCAGCACATCCCAGGGTGCAGCACGCAGCAGCTGCCAGCATGTTCTGTCATGTTCAGCAGCCAGCACTACCCACTTTGCTGCCTGCCTCCTCCAGTAAGTGATAAAAAGTAAAAAAAACTAAAAGCCACTAGTTGCTGTGATAATGTTTTTTATTTTTATATAGTTTTCAGTGGTATACATTTAATTGTAGAGACAAATACGGTTTTTGCTTAAATATTGTATTGTTTAGTAGTTGGTAAGTTAAACTGTCCTTTATCTAACAGCATCTCCCAAGGGACAGAAGAGACCCATAAAAGTGTGGCATCAAAGCTAGCCATAAACATAAATTGGCCTTTGGATGTGCTAGGACAATCTAAGCATGGAACGATGTGTTCTTAAATAACGTGTACATGTGCATGAAATGCTCACAACCTAGTTTAAACTTTTAACGTGTCTCCTGATAAGATTAGGCAAGGGTCATCTTATGTGTATGGGTACATTTGAGCAGGTAATGTTGGTGGAGTGCAGGCGTGCTTCCGAGCTGGGCTGTATGCGTCCATAGACACACATAGTGCAGCTTGCCCCAATCCTCACAGGATTTGTCTGAATGCAGCAGGAGCCACAGCAAAGGCTGTGAGAGCAGGGAGATGGTAGAGAAGAGTTGCAGCTGGGAAAAGTGCTGGACCAGTGTAGGACTCGGGTAGGTATTAGGGAGTAGATTGGGAAGAAACTAGTATTGGAAGTTTTTTGTTTTTTTTACCTTTAAAGAAGAATTTCAGGCAAAATTTATTATTTTCCCATGCAGTGGGGCTGTGCCTGCACTGCATTGGTTAAGTGCTCTTTTTTGTCTACGGGCTTGGAAAGAAAAGATATACTTACCTAATGTGCCGATCCTCTGAGCGCAGTAAGAACAATGAAGAGGATGGGGAATCCCTTATGCTGGCCTTACACTAGGCAGTGTTGTGGCACAGATAAGCAGATATCGGTTGGAAGGACAATGAAAAGAAGAGTGCAACCTACCATTAAAAGTTTTGATCCTTTTTCTGGTTTTCATAGAATCTGTTGGTGGTATTCAGTTTAAAAAATAATGAAAGTGGTTGCAGTCCTCATAAAACCAACCACCCGAGTGTATGATCCTCTTGAAATGTTACCTATTCTATCCCCCTGCCACTCTCTAACCAAAGCTTACAAAAAGACTGTTGCAATACTATACTTTAAACAGCGGTAGGCCTTCAATTTTGAAACTGGTGCTGGGATAAAGCTAAACGGGGAATAATCTGTCTGCAGGCTGGGCTGCTTTGAGAGAAAAGGCCATTTATTGGATATGCCTGCACACAGACCTTGTCCCCTGCTGTGGATTTGTCCTGTTACCAGTACCTAAGAGGAGCCTGAAGCTGATGTTTACAACTTTCATGTTGTTCAGCTTTAAAGGCTAAGTCCACCTTTTTGTTTGTTTGTTTTTTGCCCAGCTACCCTATGTAGCACTATGGCAGTAGTGTGCTTCTTTTGCAGAAATAAAAAGCTTTCCATTTATTCTACACACCCTTACCTCCAGTGTCCACATGGCTGTATAAAAAAAAGTCCATTATTTGGAGAAGAGATGTGAATGGGGCTTGACAGCTGAGTGTCTCCATCCACTTCCTTCTATGTACTTTTATAAAGATGACCATACACTATGCAGTCTGATTATACAATCTCTGTACAATTTCCTTTAGATGTCCCAGAACTATGGAATAGGAGGACACTCCTATCTACCCATTCACTCTGTATCCAATCAGGCAGGCCCTTGCACTACATATTTGATGGTAGAACTAAAGGAGATTTTATAATCTGATTGTATAGTGTGTGGTGCGCTTTACAGAACCCAGAACACACGTCTCCTGTTTTCAATACTACAGCTATTCACACAGGCTGTTATCGGATCGCTCAGCACACTGTCAAATGAATGATCTATGCAAGGTGAAAGTTAAAGTAGGAAAAAAAAAATTGATGTCTTTGTATTTAATGAGAACAGTGATCACTGCATTTCATTTAAAAAAAAGACGTGCACTTTGAAGTGGGTGGTAGGTAGGAGGGTAGGTGATGCAGGGTGTGTGCCAGTGAGGTCAGCTGCTCAACTCCCGTGTCATGACCTAAACGTGTCCAGGAAGTAAGGGAGAAATAATAGAGCAGCTTTTTTTATACAGCCATGTGGACACTGTAAGAGTGTGTAGAATAAATTGAAAGCTTTTTTATTTCTGCAAAATAAGTACATTAATGTTATATTGGTACATAGGAAATCTGGAGTTTAGGAAAAAAAAGTAAACAAAAGTGGTGAATTTAGCCTTTAAGTGTGGCAGGTAGTTGAAGTGAGCTGCTGAAATTGCAAGATGCACATAGCTGTCAGTAGGCCAATTAAGGCAGCAGTCAGCTAAGGGATGCTAATTTTAAAAGTTAACATTCGTTTCAATTCTGATTCTCACCCCTAATTTTAAAGTCCCTGCAAAAAAATGCAGTAAAAAAAATAAAACTCTATGTCACCTTAATTTATCATTCAAGTACTGCCTTCTTAATTTTTTTGGTTTGCATCAGGATGGGCAAGGGATTTGCACTTTGACAGAAAACAGAGTTTTATTGCCTATTATGCAATTCTGGCATTCCTTAAGGTGACCCTAAACAATGACTTTATATTCCAAAAATAATCTATACACATCCACTGCTTAAAGATGAATTCAAGGTATGGATATTTTTATACATAGTTGCATGGGTCCAGTTTGGACCCATGTAACTATGTATATACCATACCTGGCTGCTGTCGCTTGAAGCTGGAAATCACTAAAGTAAACTATTTCTCCAGTGATCTTTACTTGTTTTTGGGTCTCATGCCAAGTGGATGCACTTTTGCTTACTTAATACAGGAGTTGGGCCACTAAGCATGGGCACAATTTTGAGAATATTGTGCATTTACTGAATGAATGTACAACGTTCTCTGATTGGACAAAGTAGGGTGGTCATGGCAAGTGGTTGATCTCCTGCGCTGAGAATGCAGCAGGGCTGCTGCTCGGCGCAGGATCCAGAAACAAGTGGAGATCACTAGGGTAGCGGTGTCTACTTCAATTATTTCCAGCTTCCAGGAGCATCAGCCAGGTATGGTATATGCATAGCTACCGTGGTCCAAGCTGGACTGATTTAATTATATAATATATTGATACCTGGAATTTGTCTTTAATGACCTTGTAATATATTTTCTCATGAAATTATTTCTTACAGTTTTTTCCTCCTTGCAACATCCCCTGTGAGCTCCTAAATCTCTAATTTCCCTTTCATTTACATTTGTTTGGAATTTGAAGTATACGTTGGTTGCAGTCATGTGCACTGCTCTATGCATACTACAAATCCCATACTACCTAATCCATTTTAGGAATAGTGGATGGCTACATTTTTACATACAATTGGGACCATGGAGAATGAATGTAGCCACCCTGTAACAGAAGTCCGGAGGTGGCTGAAAGCAATAGAAGGTACTTTAAGTTAAGAATACATACTTGGAATAGAATTTTTACTTCCAGAGTTTAGTGTCCTGCAGACTAAGTAAGGGTGGGGGGCAGTCTATAATTCAGTGTTCTATGATTTATGTTGTGTAATAACAAAAATGGTTAGGTTTTACTAATTCTAGCAATGGCTGATGGTGGCATATAGTTTTATTGATTAGTGTATCTTTTTAATTTTTGAAAACTATTAGGCATTTTCTTTAAGAGGTTAAAAATGTCAGGAAAAGTGCGGATGACATACTTGTCTTCCATGTGCTCCCCTTTCAGCCTATATCTCAATACTGGATTGGAGCTTACACAGAATTGGGTGCCCTTTCTTTTGCTCCCACTGAACAGCAACTAGGTCTATTGGTTAGCTGCATTGTGGGGAGACAGGGGAGAGAGTCAACTACTTCTATTCCCAGAAGCATCAGGTTTTACTCCAGTTGGTGAAGAGTTAGACAGGGGAATGAGTGGAAAGTAAATATGAAATTTTCTAAGGTGGACATGTTGCTTTGCCCTGAGTGAGCCTAGTACTCCGTTTCAAACAAAATATTTGTGCAAATTGATTTGCTTGAGTAATTTTAACAGTTTTATAATCTGACCATGTACAAATGAATGTCTAATTTAATAAAATAACCTGTGAATTGTTTGATGCTGTAATTAGTAATATATTTTGTTTGAAGCAATAACTAGTACTACTTTTCTTAAAGATCATCCCAGGGTGCACCATGCAGCAGCTTCCTGTCTCGTACCAGCCATTTCCTCCTCTCTTATCCAGCGAACATTACATCTTGCACCCTCACCCACCGCTGCCACCACACCAGCCGCCTCATTTGGCCTCTCTGACCCCATTTGTAACGGTGCAACCACAGAGAGTGGTAAGTGCCAAGATAACACAACATTTTTAATTTGTTTGCTTCAATTACAATCTTTGTGTGCTTCCCAACACCTTGTTTACAGCCTGAGGTTCTACAACCAGCTAGATAAGGGAATGTGATGCTCCTAATATTCACACTTCAGAATATTGACCCAAATTTTTTCTGGGCTTATATATCGTGATTCATTGTGTACCTATACGGCATTGTACTACTAAATTGACCCTTTCTTTCAGTGTGCATATGTTGTACTTAAGTTTGTATTATGTGATTCTTATGACTGATCTAGAGCTGGTTTCCATTAGTTTCATCACCTCTCTTGCGTGGTTTCTACTTCAAGTATAACTAAAGGCAAAACTTTTTAATTTTGGCTAGAGTGCAGAGGGATTACAACTCCTGTCAGGTTTTGGTTGCAGTCTGTGCCCTCATTAGGGAGATTCACCCTCTCTATTTGTGCTGTTTACCATTATCAATGAATGTAAAGAAAATCCCAAATTGTGGGTTGTCCCCAGAAAAGTAATAGTGGGGAAATCGTCCAATGGGGACACTAGTTCTGGTGACCTGGGGATCCTCAAGGAATTCCCTTAATTTGCAGGGATTGCCTCTCACTCCCTGTTTGGCTATGGTACAGGAAGTTAAGAGAAATTTCTGGAATGGGACACAGATAGCAAAAATAACAAAAAACTGACGGCTTATAACCCTCCTTTGCTCTTTCCAAAATGAAAAAGTTCTACTTCAGGCGAAAAGCAGAGCCCTTCTTTCAACTTTTCAATGCAGTAGCCTAGAAAGGTACCCTGTGGGGTGGATTTACTAAAGGCAAATAGACTGTACAGTTGCATGTGCAGTTGCACTTATTTTCCTTGGTAAACGTAAATGTGGTAAAGCTTCACTTTTTAAGGAATACCCAATCGGGTGCAAAAAAAAAAAAGTTAAACATTTTTGCTTGCATATGATTCGGTAATGGAAATCTGCAGAGCTTTACCACATTTACTAAGCACTGGAGAAAATGAGTGCAACTGCACTTGCAAAAAATGCATAGTCTATTTGCCTTTTGTAAATCCACCCCTGTGTGTTTTCGTGCTTAACAAACCGCGTCTGGAATCCTGCCTCACTTATCTAAGGGGTTCATTTGGTTAGAGATATAAAGGATTTTACCCTCTTTTTCCAACAAAACCAACTGCTGCTGCAAGTTAGATCTTTAATGGGTGCGCATTTTAACTACTTGCTAACCGCTACTTTTACTGCGGACAGGCGGCAACTACAGGCAAAGCGACGTACGGGTATGTGACTCTTCCTGTACTAACACAGGATACAGCGGAATGCGGATCCCAGTAATCGGGGCCCAGTGATCATGTGATCACATAATCACAATGCTAGCAAAGCTGTTATGAATGAATCTGATTCATAATAGCTTTGCTTCTGTTCCTGGTGAGCTATGATTGGCCCACAGTTCTCACATGGTACATGGGCCAATCCCAGCACCCTGTACCATATGACCAGCTGGAGCCAATCACAGATCACTGTATTTTGAACTGTCAGGAACGTAACCCATTTATGACAGTTCAAAGCAAGCATTGCATTGCAGAGCAATAATCTTTATTACTCCTGCAGTGCAAAGTGTAAAAAAAAAAAAAAAAAACAAAACAAACAAAAACCCTGATCACCCCCCCAGAGTTGTACAATGTTACTATGGTAACATTGCACTACTGAGATGAAAGCATTTAGAATGGAAAAAAAAAAAGGTTTAAATAAAATATTTAGAGCACTTGTCAACAGTTCCAACACTTGCCGATGGGCGGGCGAGCGACAGCTTTGGGCAAAGCGGGGTATCCTGTCGCTTTCTATTTCCAGGTGTATGTGCGTCCCCCCCTATGCTGGTCCAAGTAGAGGAGAGAGAACACCACACTGAGTAAAAGCACTACATTTTATACACTTTTGATTAGCACATTTAACACTTTGATTGTCTCTATTAACCCCATCACTCACCCAGTGCCATTAGTACAATGTCAGTATATAGAATTTTTCACTGATCACTCTATTACTGCCACTAGTGACATCAGATAGAGTTAGGGTCAGTTAGCACCCCTCCCAGCCAAGGTCAGCTAGCGTTAGATTGCCCACACACTATCGCACTCACGCTATAGGTCCCTGATCACCGCCATTACTAGTATAGTATTTGTACAGATCAATATATTGATCACCAACAGAACTGTACTAGTGCCACCTTAGTATAGTGTCCCCAGAAACACAGTGTTAGCAGGATAAGACCCATTCACTGCCAGCATTAGCTGCCCCTCCGCTGTTTTTCACTGAATATTTGTATGAATTGATTGTGGGCCAAAGCAATTTATATTTCAATGTGTTTTTAATAAAAGTTTTCAACAGTACGTATAATTTGTTCCATATATGTTGCAGGTACAAATAGAATAAAGAAAAACAAAAATAAATATATCCCACGTATAGGGAGGGGAGTGCAGTATACAAATATTGACAACCATTTTGTTCTTAGAGGATGCACCTTGCAAACAGGTCACACAGCACGTTAGCGGGAGCATCCGTCATACAGCACATCCCAGGAATCCACTAAATCAATCAAAACCTAGCAGGTCTATATGAGTAATGAAATTAGGAAGTATGATGCTCCTTTTCTTAAAAAAGGGGAAAAAAGAGAAAGAGAGGGGAGGGTGTCCCATTGACCTACTAGGAAGATCCATCCACTCTTGGTCCAAAGGAGAGATGCATTGAATCCAGGGTTCCCACGGTTTCTGAAATTTAGTAGTAGTATTATGGAGGGTACAGGTGAGTTTATCATTTACCATAATCCCAGTTTAATTCATGTTTAACATAATCTAAGTGCACCACTGTTGTCTTCCAACAACGCTCTATTGCGATTCTTGCTGCCAAGAGCATATAAAGTATAAGCACTTTAGGCCATTTTGGGATTTCAGCATCTAATTTCTAGAACAAGGCTATTTCTTGGGCTTGAGTAAGGTTAACATCCATGACCAAGGGTATGAGGTTGAAATTTGTATCCAAAATCAGGACACCTTGGGGTATTGCCATCACACATGAAACCTTGTTCCTGGCTGACCGCATTGGCAAAAAACAGTTTGGAGAGAGTGCATCTTTGCTTTCCTAGTCGGTACTAAATACCAGTGTAATAGAGTTCTGTAATTGGATTCTATCAGTATAGCATTGAAATCTTGGATACGTCGTTTGCTGTGTCCTGCCAGTCCGACAAATCCCCGGAAATCTGTAAATCCTTTTCCCATAGCTTCATATAGGAAAGCTTACTGTTAAGGTCCATCAAAAAAAGATAAACTGTGGAGACCCGCCCCTTGGGGCCAAAGCAATTTATAAGCACAATAATACATGGCTGCCCACCCAAATTTTAGCTTTTGCCAGACAATTTGCATGGAAACAAAACTTTTGGGCCTAACTCTCAACATAGGCGTTACAAAAAAGAATAAATTGCAGTCATATTGGTCCACAGACCCAATTCATCATATGACCATGTTGTCTGCGGTTACATATATACACAACATGGACCTGCAACGTACTGGTACGTCGCTGGACTTTGAGTGGTTATACTGGGATGATGCCTGCAGCTACGGGTATGGAAATGTTTGAAAAAAAAAAAAAAACTACTTGACCAGGGACTAAATCAGGGTTTCAATCTACTTGTCCTGATAAAAAAACATAAATTTTAACCAGAAACCATATTTAAATCTGTTTTAAGTAATGTCTGGGGCTTTTAAAAACAAAAGGTGCTTTTTATATATATATTTTTTTTCTATATTAATTTAAATATTTATTAAATTTTTCATGTTAATACAAAAACCCAAAAAGGGAAATAATTCTCATACAAATAGACATTTATAGCATTTCTACCTTTCCCTTGCTAAAAACTCTTTTCTTTCCCATCCCACTACCCCCCCTTGCCGCCCCTCATCCCCCCTCCTCCCCCTCTGCGGACTCTAGCCCATTCTAATCTCTTGAGGCTTATTAATTTTTTTTTTTTTTTGCTAACATCTTAGTTCATATTTTCCTATATTTCTCTTTCAATCCTGCTCTTTCCCATTTTTCCCATCTCCTGGAATAAACTCTCATCTTATCTTCCTGTATATGGTATGATCTTTCCATTCTACCTATCTGGTTTACTCTATTAATCCAGTCTTCCTCCTTCGGTACCTCAGCTTTCCGCCAAAACTTGGGTATCAACCCTTTCGCCGCATTCAAGAAGTACCAAATACCTGAATCTTTATATTTATTTACAGATGTCTCCACATTGTGTAGGAGGCACGTCGTTGGGTCTAACCCTATGTCAATTTCAGTTATTTCTTCAATCAATTTAACTATTATCTTCCAAAAAGCCTGGATTTTCGGACATTCCCACCATATGTGAAACACCGTGCCTATCTCTCCACATCCTCTCCAACACATATTTGAGTTTTCCCCATTCATCTTGTGCTCTACACTCGGTGTAATGTGCCATTGTGTCACACACTTATAATTAACCTCATCCTCTCTCATACTAACATTATCGTGTATCAATCTAAACATCTTTCTCTGTCTATCTTCATCAAACTCAGCTCCCATATCCCTTTCCCATTTTGTAATAAAATCTAACTTTGTGTTTGTGTCTAATTCTGTGAGTATTCTATACACTTTTGAAATACCGTGCTTCCCATCCCTTCGTGTCTCTAACAACCTTTCAAACATATTCCACTCCTGTTTTATTCTCGGGTTTCGGTAAATTTCCAATAAAACATTTTCAATTGATATTTCCACTCATCTATTCTAATAAAAATATCTCCCTTCTTCTCTATTAAATCTTTAAGTGATCTCAATTCCCCCTCCACCAAAACATCTCTCAGTTGGGTATCCTCCTTTCTAAACCATCTCCCTGATATCTTATTCTTTCCCGGGGGAAAGTACTCAGTATTTGTGAGAGGCATTAATATAGAATTAAATTCCCATTTCATGTTTTTGTGTAAATTGTCCCATAC